CACAGGGGAAAAACAGGTGTGAATAATCTGTGTATCCAGCCTTAATCATCTTAAATTAAATATTTGATCTCCTATCTATGTATGTCGAGACGTGGATTAGGTCTTAACTCTTTGTCCATAACTGCAGCTGTTTTTCCTTGAAGAACAAGCAAACATCGCACTGTGACTATTGAAATTATCGGAATAAAAAATGTGGGAGATTTAAAAAAAAATAAGTGTGGGAGAGCCATGATTTGATGGAGTGATACCACGGCCTCACAGAAAATCGACGTGAAACAACGCTTGCGTTGTGTTTCGTCGTGTGAGTGCGGTTACCGGAGGCCTAATTATCCCCTCTCCCCAGTCTCCCGAATACCCGAATTCCCCACAATTCTCAAATTTCCAATTCCCAAAAGGCTGGTAACGCACTTGTAATGTCTTTGGTGTTTTAGGTGTCCATGGGTGGCGACGATTGCTTACCATCAGGTGATCCGTCTGATCGTTTACCGGCTTGTCGCATTAAAAAGTTCTAGTTATGCCCAAATATTGAAAAACTACTCAATTTTAAGTATTTGTACTTAAATATCGTGCTATCTATGTCATTTTAAAATGAACTAGCTACTTCCGCGTGGTTTCACTCGCTCTGCTCGGCGCCTATTAATCCTAGCGTAATATTTTATAGCCTATAGCCTTCCTAGCTATTCAAAACAGAAAGATTTTTTCAAATCGGACCAATAGTTTCGGAGATTAGCGCGTTCAAACAAACAAACAAAAAAAACAAACTCTTCAGCTTTATAATATTATTATAGATTTGTAGTGACACAACTATACTTAAGCGCGATTTAAAATTGAGTAACGTTTCAGTATTCGAGTACCTATTAGAAAAGTAAATAAAAAATGAGTTTTTATTCGTGTAGAGAAGAACCAATAAGAAACTCAGCATCCTACTTTTCAAAAATCATGGCAACTGTCAGCGAGAGATAATCCCATTGTTATCATCCGTTTACCATACAAATAAGTTCGTACAACGAAGCGATAAAAAACTTCGTACAACATTGTACAAGCGATTTGGAGTTCAATTTATTCTGCAAGTAAGGTGGCTATTCTGTTGTTATCCGATAAAAATACAGATATTTATTATTTACTAATAATGTCAATATGGATAGTTAAGTACGTATGATGCTATGATATGTATGTACGTATGTACATTCATCAACAGCCTATAAATGTCCACTGCTGAGCAAAGCCTCTTCTCACACTGAGAAAGTTTAAGCATTAATCACCACGCTTGCTCAATGCGGTCGGCGATTACAAACTTATAATTAGAAATTATAAACCCAGGTTTCCTCACGATGTTTTCCTTTACCGTTTGTCAGTGGTGTCTAGATAATCTTACATATAACTCGGAAAAAGTCACATTGGTACTTGCCGTTGGTAGGTTTCGAACCCGCACCTTCATGTCATTGTATGAGAAGCAGGCGTCTTGAACCTCCGGGCCATCACGACATTCCTGATGCTGTGATAAAGAAACGCCTTTTCTTTCTAGATTCGCAGCTTCCAAAAAGAGATATTGTTTATGTAGCATTACCAAGCTTCGTCCGCTCTAGCAATGCATTTTTAACATAACTACTGAAAAGTGAAAGTCACAAAAATTTGATATAAACGTCTATATCTGCCTACATCTTCAGCAAAAGACTGTAATAGTCCAATTTCATCTAATTGTGTTGCACGTTTAGTAAAGGTACCTGTTAATACCCATTGCAACCATCGAGTTACAAAATCCGCTCAATCCTACTTCCCCCAACATATCCTAAACACTAGAATAGACACCCCTGTTGAACAATGGCCACAAGTCCCGAACAGGTATGGCTAAACTTGTATAAATTAAGTTGCCAACTCAAATTGACTCGACTATCACAATCCCGGGCTAAAGGTGG